CCCCTTTCCTTCCCCAGTAACCCCGTGCACTACTCTATCCCTACCTGGGAAAAGGAGACCCCCATCCCCATGGAAATAGGACACCCACCCCCCCACTCCCCCCAGGTGATGATCATAAAGGTTCAAAAGTCACCTCAGACAACTCCCTGGCTCCTGGTCAGGAACTAATTCCCCTTGCCTCATCTTGCTGATCCAACCTTTAATTGCTCACCCTTATCTACGCACAGCTACATTGCCTCTGGAAGTTAAAATCAAGGCATAATAGAGCAAGCTCTGCCTTTCAGTAACTTACCTTTTTCCTTTCCACCCCATTCCTCGAGGCCTCTCGGTTGCCCCAGCGCACAGCAGCCTGATGGGCATCTATGACGGGGAGGAGTTCGTGTTCGAGGAGAGCAGCTGGTACATCGTCAACCTGCTCAAGCTCCTCTGGCGCTACGGGCTCAACCCCCTGCGAATGTACATGTGGGTGGAGGACATCCTGGACAAGTTCATGCGGTACGTCGGGGGTAAACGGGCTGCAGGAAAGGGGGCAAAACCTGCTGCCGAGTTGTAAAAAGGGGTGAAATCATCCCATCGCCTCTCTCCATTGCCAATCATTTTCCCAAGGAAAAAAAGATGGAGATAGGCACCATCACCTTCAAACAGGTGTAGCAATAACAAGAGGCTGTGGTGGAAATGTGGGTTAGATGGGGGTTGTCCCACTGATCTGAGTGCTGAAGAGAATTAAACCCATTACTGTGCACAAAGTGCTTTCGTTAGGGGGAGATCAGCAAATGGATAACGAAGGTCTGGGCGTCCACGGGCTCGGGCTTGGCTGGAAGGACAAGCCCTGATGCTCCCACGAAGCTCTCGGGAGCTGTGGTGCGACATCCCCCGCACCTTCCCAGGGCAACAAAGATAATTCCCAGCGACTGAACCCATGCAGTCCCGTCCCGATACTGGAGAACCTTGGCCAGTGCCCACACAAACCTATTTCTTGTCTCCGCTTCAAGGATCTATCGCTACCAGACACACGACTACGCCTTCACCAGTAACGAGCGCCTGCTTCACGCCCTCGGAGGGAACGACTTCACCCGGATGCTGAACGAAACCATCAGCGAAGCCATGCAGAGAGCCGGCTTCTCCCATAAGTTCATAAATGAGGTGGTTTGTCCAGCCATGAGAGTCAATTATGGGCAAGACGGTAACATCAACGGCTTCGTAGGTGAGTCTTCCATAGGTTAACCTCCCAACACGCCTGTTCCGGGGACCTCGTGCTCCTCACGGCTGTCGGGATTCCTCCTCCCGTGCTGGGTTACCACCTTACTCCCACACTTTGCTGGCTAACGCTTAGCGCTGGCCTTCAGCAAGCTCTGCCCTGAGGGGATCTCTTTTCCCTCTTCGTTTTCCGCTTTGTTTCAACTGCTTCCCTACAGAACCATGCCAAACAAACCTCCTCTCTGATGATGGTGGTTTCCTTCTAGGTGCTGTTTCTCTGGCAGGGGTGGAATCGGGCCTTTGGTCAGTAAAAGGGGGGAACAAGCTCGTCTGCACGGGCCTTATCTACGCCTCCAAAGCTGAAGTTATCCCTGGCACCGTTTTGTCTATAGAGCCAAAAATCCGACCCAGACCCACAGGTGAGCTGGGTTCGCTTTCCCTTTGGTGGGGAGGGGAACGGCACGCTCCGGCAGCCGGAGGCCTCGGCAGCCACAGCGCCCGCCGGGGTCTGCCCTGGTCTTTTGAGATGAAAACTGGGCTCTGCTCAAAGGCCCGGGTCGCAGCACTCCCCCAGCTACGCTGGTGCGAGTTTGTAAAGCTATTTCAGCTCCTAACAAGGCGTAGTTAGTCTAAATGGGATGGGGTTTTAAACGCCTGGTGTTTGTCAGAGGGCCGGACAGGATTCCCCCCAGCCCGGGCGCGGGATAACCGAGCTTTTCTCCCCAGGGGACCCGGTGAAGCTCTACCAGGTCACTTACAACACTGCGTCAGGACCGACGGGGGACACCTACGACATCGTCATCATCGCTGCTCCGCTGAGCCGCAAAATGGCCAACATCACCTTCAAGAACTTCGACCCTCCCGTCCCCAAGTTCCCAAGCCCTTACCACCAGACTGTCACGACGCTGGTGCACGGACGACTGAACTCCTCCTTCTTTGGCTACCGGGACCCATCCGCCTTTCATTTCAGTGCCATCTTCACTACGGAGAATCCCAACCTCTTCATCAACAGCCTGGCGGTGGTGTCTCCCGTGGAAGACGCGGGCGGTGAAGGAAAGCCGCCCTCGCCGCTGGCCGTCTGGAAGGTGTTCTCCAAGGAGGTGCTCACCAAAGAGCAGCTCGGCTTGCTTTTCTCCTCTTACGACTCCGTCAAAGTGAAGGAGTGGTTGGCGTACCCCCGCTACAGCCCCCCGGAAAAATGCCCTCCCGTCATCCTCCACGACAACATCTACTACCTGAACGGCATCGAGCGGGCCGGCCAGGGAGATGAGGGCCACGCCCGCCAAGAACGCCGCTCTGCTCGCGTACCACCGCTGGTACGGGAACGCCGACATGATCGACCAGGAAGATTTGCACGAGAAGCTGAAAACGGAGCTCTGAGCCCTGCGGAGCCGACGGCCGGGAGCTCGTGGAGCGTCCGGGCCGGAACCCCCGGAGATACTGATCACATGCTGTAGCTGTTGAGCCACAACTGAAGCTAACAAATGAGGAACTCCTTGCTTAGCCCCTGGGAGAGGCATCCAGCCAGCTCCAGACGGACTAAAGAACGGGGAAAAGGCGGGGGAAGCTTTCCCAAGTGAGCTGGACCCTCCTCAAGCAAAGTCCTTGGCCCTTCCTCAGGCAAACTCCTCTATCTGCCCCTGTCTGAGACGAAAGCAGAAGTTCTAAAAGCCACACTGACGCCCAGAAGTGCCCTCCACTGTGAGGTGTCTGCCCAGCTCAGGATCTGCATCACTGTGATGAACTCGCCACGTCGCTTTCCCTCCCTTTCTGCGTTTCAGGCAGGAAAAACTCAACTCTGTGACTGTGAATCTGTCTACCTTGAGAATTTTCTGGAGGGTGTATCGAGCGGCGGTCCCCTGGGGTGGGACTGGCACAGTGGAAATCAGGGCTGCGTTCTTCCTTTGCTTCCAGAACCAGTACTGGTGCTGTGGGGTGCGGGGCTGGCTTGCTGCGTGCGAAGAGAGCTGCCAAAATAGGCGGTAATTAAGCAAAACCACAGCGTCCTTCCCTTTGTCAAGGTTTGAAAGCATTAATAATTTAAGTATCTGAGCCTATGGTACGGCAGCACTAGGTGTGAGTAGCTGAAAACCCTTTTTGTGATAACATCGTGTCCCTTGGCTGTACCCGATACCGCTGCGAGACCTCGGCCGCGTCCGACTGTTGCCATTCCCAATAAAACTAACGCGCTGGCTGGGGAGGAGGCTGGCGCCGTTGCCTCGAGGTAGTGCAGAACGCTGCCCTTCCTCGCGCCGGGGCAGGGAGCTCCGCAAAGCGAGCGCGGGGTTCGTGCTCACGGCGTCCGACCGCGGCGCTGGAGCTGTCGCTCTGGGCAGCGAGCGTCGCTTTTTCCGAGGAACCCGACCGAGCTCTGCCCGCAGGTGCCAGGGAAAGCGCCTGGCACCCCGTTGTATTAATGCAATGACTGAAAAGACTCTTATTTGTCGTTAAGGACCTGCATTTACTCACAAAAGCAACCCAAAAAGGCCGCTTTCTACCCGGCTCCCACTTAGGAGAAAGAGCTGAAGGCTTCTATGGTCCGGTTCAGCCCCCACAGGCTTTGGTTCCTGCCCCGCAACTCCACGAAATAAAGAGTAAAAATAATCATTAAAAACCCCCAATTGCTGCTTTGAGGCAGCCCAGCCTGGCACAAAGGCTCTACGTCGCCCTTGGCGGAGGGGAATTTCACCCTTTTCCTGCCAAGCAGGAGCCAATGACCCACTGAACGAGCAGGACGCAGCTCCGTAGCTCGTTCTTTACGAGATATCAAGGGGAAGGACACGAAAGGTAGCGCCAGGGTAGCCTCAGCTTTGATAAATGAGGCCTCCTGGCAGCCTTTGCAGAGTTTTAAAGCTATCGGGAGCAGAATTAACAACCGCCCCGTAACCCACAAAAGCACGTAGGACCCACACGAGTTACGTCAACCATTACAAAAATTTATTTTAACAAAACAATAAAGTTTACACTCGGGGAGGCTTCGCGGCAGATTCAGGGAGTGAAGAAAGGCGGGCGAGGACTCGTCAGGGCCGGTAACGATGTGGGTTTCTCTGCTGCTATACTCGTTCCAAGGCTTCCAGCATGATGATGCTGTTTCCTCGGATGACCTGGAGGCAGAAGGGTCAGAGCAGCCCGCGAGGGCCCCCCACTCCAATTTATTTCCCTAAAAAGCTGCTGCTGCCCCCAAAACCCACGAGAACTCCCTCCCAGAGAGGAACGCGGGCTCTCGAACCCCACGGGTCGTTCTCCGCCTTCGAACTGAGCGCGTTTCGCAGGCCCGCGGGAGCCGGGCGGCGGCACTCACCACCATGCCGATGTTGTTCTGCTGCCCTCCCGTCGCCATCTCCACGCACTCGTCGATGACGAGGTTCATGAAGGGATCGAAGCCCCGCAGGATCCCCTGGACGTGCCGGCCGCCGTTTAACTTCACTGCGAGAAACGGAGGAGGGTTAGAGGAGGAGCGAGGGGGAGCTGCCCAACGCTCGGCGGGTTCCGAGGAGGGAGCGGCGTGAGCGAGCGGGAAGCACTCCGAGCATCGCGTGGGTAAGGGAAGGCCGGCCTCAGGGGCCAGCGGAGCACGTTTTTAATTAACCTCCATGCCAATTAGCGGGTTTGAAGGGTGTAATTACGAGGGGTAATGGTTCTAAACTAAAACAGGGTAGGTTTAGGCTGGATATAAGGAAGAAATTCTTTACAGTGAGGGTGGTGAAACACTGGAACGGGTTGCCCAGAGAGGCAGTGGAGGCCCCATCCCTGGAAATATTCCAGACCAGGTTGGACAGGGCTCTGAGCACCCTGATCTAGTTAACGGTGTCCCTGCTCGCTGCGGGGCGGTTGGACTGGATGACCTCTGGGGGTCCCTTCCGACCCAAAACTTTCTATGATTCTAATTAGCCAGGCGGTCCGGTCCTTGCCGAGCAGCAGGGTTAGCCCCGGGGTGGCGAGGGAGGGGGTGAAGGGGCC